TTATTCACAATGTAAGGGTACAAATGTATTTACTACTTCTAAACCTAATCCTTTTACTTTAAGATACCTAAGAGAACATTAATGCTTTGAATAAGTGAAATAAGGCAAATGAGATGACTTGGTGCAATATTCTAGAGTTTACCTCGAATACGCTCCAAAGCTAACATTTACATTATTTTATTTTCTTCGAGCATCATGTTAAAATTTAATAAGATGTTTTGGTGAGATTAGATAGAGAGTATGCCAAAGTACTATGTCAGACTTGAATAGCATCAAGATAGCCTAAGGAACTCCAGTATGAAATCAAATTTTGAAAAATGATTGTTTATTATTTAAAAATTAGCTGGAGATCAATAAGGCTGACTTGGGTGGTAAGTTTCAAGTTGACATGATTATTGCCTTGTTACCAAACTCGTTCGACTCTGTTAGAGTGAACTAAATAAGGAATCAGTTTGAGTTCACACTCGCTGATATTCTTATAGAATTGGTAACAGATGAAGGGATAATCAAGAGTATGGGCGTTCCTATCAATCTAACCTAGTCTATACCATCTTCTTCTAGGCCCAAGTGGAAGGGCAAAGCACAGAAGAAGGATGATAATAGGACTAGACTAGCACAAAACATGGGTATTCAAAAAGGTTAAAGGGAATAAGGCAGTATATGTTGAGGGCGAAGAAAACTGTTTCTTTTGTCGCTAACTAAAACACTAAAGGACGAACTGTTTAAGCAATGACGTGGCATAGGAAAATATATATTTAATCATTGAGCCATGTTATGTGGTTGCGTCTATTAATTCCTGATGGATAGATTCTGGAGCCACTAAACATGTTTGTAATTTATTGTAAGGATTTCAGGAATCCAGAAGCCTTGATGATATGGATATATATTTATCTTTTGACCTGATGCCAAGGTTGTAGTTAAGTTAGTGGGAGTATTACATCTGAAATTAGAGAGTATGAGGATATTAGTATTAGAGAACTATCTTTATGCACAGAAGTGAAACGCATTCTCATTCTTATTTCACTTTTGGTTTATAAAAACTGTGTTGTTATTTTGTAAAACTGGTTTTATAAAATTGAATAGATATGCGATTGCTTCTGGTGCATTGAAAGATGGTTAATATACTATAATCACAAACTCTTAAGATTTGCAGGATGTAGAAACTAATGTTGCATCTTCTAGATTGAATGTTAAGAGAAAAATTGTTATTCCTGACTCATTGTATTTTTAATGTCTATTTTTGGGTTGTTATCAATCAAAATAAGATTCAAAGATTGGTCAAAGAAGGTTAATTACCTAGTGAGGCAGGGGAGCCTAAACCAAACTTGTGAACCCTGTTTTGAAGGATAGATAACTCTTAGGGCTTAATCAGCCAGATGAAATAGACATAAAGGACAATTGGAGTCGGTACACACTGACACGTGTGGTCTTATGAACATCCAAGCAAGATTACTCACGTTTTAGATAAGTTTATCTGATGCAACACAAGTCTTAAACTCTTGGTATTTTCTGAGAAGGTTAAGACTGATGTGGAACACATATTAGGTAAACTTATCAAGACACTTCGATCTGATCGAGGATATGAGTATTTCTTGGGATAGTGCTAAGACTATATGGTCAATGAGGGTATTATGTACCAGTTTTCCGTAATTGACGCTAAATGTATTTAGGTGTCAAATAGGAATAACAGAATTCCACTTAACATGGTTAGATCTATGATCAGCTATGCTACATTATCTCTTTCATTTAAGAGTTTAGTGTTAATGACATCGATGCGCATTATGAACTGCATTCCATCTTAGTCTGTCTCAAGGATACCGTTGAGCTGTGTTTTTTACTAAATATTAGTTTGAATCATATGCACATATGGGGTAGTCTTGCACATGTGCGCTTGATATGGACAAGTAAGTTGGAAGCAGATCATAGGCATGCTAGATTTGATAGCTACTCTAAATGTCACTAGAATGGATTATTTTATGATCTTAAAGATAAAAGTTGATTGTTTTCACTCACTGTTTATCTATAGGAGAATCATATTATGAATCACATACCTAGTAGCATAATGTTAGAGAATTTGGTATGAGTACCAGATGTACCACATGTGAACACACTTATTATAGAGATTGAGAATAATATATGAATTCCCTATTGATGCGTTAGCATCATCTACTACATAGATTCTTGCATCGGTACATTGATGTAGTGGGATGATTATCATCCAATTCGACAGAATCATGTTTTTAGGTGAGACCATTATGGACATCCCTGTTAAACATGAGTTGGACCCAGTAAGCTACACGGAAGCGTGAACCGATGTGGATATAGATCGTTTTGGTGAGTTACTATGAAATCAGAGTTGGAATCTATGTATTCTAATAAATTCTGGGATCTTGTAGAACTTTCTAGTAGGGTGATTCCTATGGAAGGCAAGTTAATCTACAAAAAGATACCAGAAGATTTCTTAGTGAATAAATCATGAGTGTACAAGGGAATGTCATTATTTTTCTAATTCTATATATATTGATGACATCCTACTCATTTAGAATGATGTGGAAGTTTTGTCATCAATAAAGAGGTAGTTGTTCAATTACTTTTAAATGAAGGATTTTCAGGATGTAAGCTAGATTCCTAGGATCAAGCTTTTGTAAGATCAGGTTAAAAGGAAAATAGGCTTATCTTAATAATCCTACATTGATAAAGTTTTGACCAGGTTTGGTATGCATAACTCAAAGAATGAGTTCTTACTTTATTGATATGGTTGGCTCTCTCTAGTAAGTAGTTTTTCAAGACTATCAAAGGAGATTGAGCAAATGAGACTGGAACAATATGTTTTGGCATATGAGAGTCTCATATATGTCATGGTCTATACCAAACAGGACATCCGCTACATAGTAGGGATAGTCAGTAGAGATCAGTCCAATACTGGACTTGACAACTGGTTTATTGTGAAAAATATCATTAAGTGCCTAAGGAGAACCAACGATATCATATTCATTTATGGATGTGATGATATGGTCCTAGTCAGGTATGTTAGTTCTGATTTTCAATCAGAAGTAGATACTATGAGGTTCATGACTTAGTGTATGTTCACTTAATGGAAGGGAGATCAGTTGGTAGATTGTTAAGCAGATTTCAACTGCTGACTCAAACCTGTAGGTGGAATATATTGCAGCCTTAAAGGCGGCAAAGGAAGCCTATTAGTTTGATTTCACTGATTTAGAGGTTGTGGAGTATACTAGCCTGCCCATTGAGCTATGTTGTGACAATAGTGCAGAAGTAGTCCAAACCAATGACCCAAGGTTCCATAGAGGAACAAGATACACTGAGAGGAAGTATCATGTTTAACATGATATTGTCCGGCAAGAAAATGCACTTGTAGTTAGAACATTGCATTGGAACACAACTTTGTTGATCCATTATCAAAGGTGTCATTGATCAATAATTTTGATCATCATCTGGATAACATTGGAGTTAGGTGCAATTTGAATTGGCTATGAGGGCAAGTGGGAGCTGTTGGGATTTATATGCCCTGGCATAGCAAATTCCTATCTGGATTATAGTGACATATGTTCCTGACATATCTGAAATATTTATGATTTATATAATTGGTGAATTCAATGTGTTATGTTTCGATTCACTATGAAATTGATAGTGTCCATGTAATTACAAGAAATATTTATATATATGTATGTGATGGCAATCAATGCATGATATATAAATAGTAATTATAAATTGTTCATAGTCGGAAATTATGGATGGACTCATAATTAATTAAGACTTGAACTGGATTCGTGTTAGGCTGAGATATATTACGAGAGCCGTCGTATGCAATTACTCCCTATCACCGTCATGGCATTTGACTCTTAAGCATGAGAAAAGTATAGACTCTTTTATTAATTAATAATTACTTTGATTTGTTCGGCGGATTCTTCGGGATCCTTAGACCGACACTTTGGGTAATTATGTAATTAATAGTTAGAGGGTTATATTTTTAATATTTACATCATTGCTACTTGTATTTATTTTGTATTGATTATGGTTGATCATAAAGTAAATTCGAAGGCCTTCGTGTGTTTTTAGACAAAATGATTTATTATATATTTATTTATTTAAATTATTATTTTTGTCAAACAAATGTTTTATTGTGATCGAGTCAGAAATAATCAGAGGTACCAAAATAGATATATTAATTAAGTAGTCGGATTGATGGCTTTATTTATCCGATAACTAATTATGCATAGAGGGGTCAAAGTGCAATATTGACTTAGAGGTTATTTATTATTTAATTGGAGTTCAATTAATTTCTTTTAGTGGAGTAGAAATTAATTTATGAATTAATTGAATTGGGTCCATGGATCGGGCCAATTATTAATTCATTGTAGCCAATAAAATAATAGGCCCAATGGATTCTCACTCATAGCCCAACTTGATATTGGAATCATATTAGATTTGAGACATATGAATTAGAGATGGAGAATGATTTGTTGTTTTCTTTTCTTTATTTTTATGTTGCCTATAAATATACATGGTCTATGTATATTTTAGGGGGTGATTTTTAATGAGAAGGAAAAAGGAATTTATTTTCTCTCTCTAGAAAATTAGGGTTTATGTTCTCATCTAATGGAGGCTCCCATAAGCCTAGTTTTCCAAAGTCATTCATGGAGGCTTATGAGTGATTCCTAAAGGCAAAACAATTACCAAGAAGATGGAGATCCAAGAAGAAGGCATCTTGCTAAGGGATCTACAATAAGTGAGAACATTCACTTTAGAGGAAAGTTTTAAAGGTTTACTCAGACCTTTGATGTAAGTATTCAATCTGTTAATTGAATGATACATCATATTTTTATTTTTGTATAAAACTTGTCTCTATGTAATGAATCAAGATCTATGAATTTAAATCCCTCGAAAAGTTTTTAAAACTAGCACGTTTCCCAACAAAAAGATCATGATTCCCAACCATATATATATAATTAGATTGCCCTACTATATAACAAAACTCTCTAATTCAATGCATCACAACTCTTTCTAATAACACCTTGACTACCAGTTAGAACACCTGAGGAAGAGAGTTTCACAAATGCAGAAGAAAAAGCCCTGAAGAACTCATCCTCATCAACAGCAAAAAGTTCGACAAACCGTGCCGTTCGCGGGTCTGACGACATTTCGGCGTCGATCCTCAGTACTCCACGGCCTCTCATTGCATTTATGTAGTACTGGTTGTCAAAGAGCAACGTGGTAGGGTCATTTAGAACAATGCTAGTGTTTGATGTGGAAGACTCTAGTGGACAGCTCAACCTCAGTAACAATTCGAACCCAGGTTCCATATTTTGAGTATGACCAATCTCTGGGCTGTACAGGCGATTCAGAATGTTGAAACAATGTGTAACTCCTAGTGTGTGAGCACCTACCAAAAAAACAAGGGTGGATATTGCACAAATATGTTAAAAGCTTAATAGATATAACCATGGATATATATATATATATGGGCAAAAAAAATTTCAAAAACGTCATAGAACCCTTTAATAATCAAATAACCCTCTGAACTAGCAAAAAATTATCATGTTACTCTCTTTTCGTTACGAAACTATTAACTTGTTGCGAAATGATAATAATGCCTTTAATAGTATATTTATATTTTATTAAATTGAAATTATAGTTTGAGAAGGATAATTTCGTCATTAAGAATTACAAGGTTATTTTGGTCAAAAAACAATGCAAATGTTGCACGTGATTTTCATGTGATACAATCCCATTAATTTTAGACTGAAATTAACGGGAAGGGAGTGATATGATAGACTTTTAAAAACATCAAGGGGTAATGTGTTAATTTCTTTAGTTGAGGGGTTAGTTGATAGTTTTTGGAAACAAGAGGGGGGTTTTAGTTAATAGATTTTAGGAATAATAACGGGATTTTATGATTTTAGCCCTATATATATATATATATATATATATAGGGAGTATGTAAGTGCAAAAAGGTCTAAGAGGAGGACGGAACTAACTAATAGTGTAAAAAAAAAAAATTTATAAATTTATAAAATATAACATATATTTTTTACATCTGAAAAATTAAATTAATAAATAAATAATAAGCTTCAACGTAGCAAATATGAAAAGATACATGCATTAGACGTGTGGAGAGAAATAATAAAATTAAACAAACATTGTACCACCAAACCATAGAGATAAAACAAAATTTCATAAATTCATTAGGTTTTGATATTGTGTGTGTATATCTGATGTAGTAGAAATAAGTTGGTAGAAATTGAATTTTAATCCTGCGTAGAACAAGGGATATACTTTTATGAGTTTTAGACTACGTGTTATGCGGCCGGATTTGAAATATTAAAAGCTTAAGAATTATTTGGAGGTATTTAATAGAGTTTGCAAAAATTTAAAGGGAGTCAAATTTCAAACTACATTTTACAATATTTAATTACAGGTGCTTGATGGATTTTATAAATTTTGAAGGGGGCAAATGTCAAATATTCAAACTTAACACTAAATTTTTGTTGTGTTTGGAAATATTGAATCGGCGCTTTAGATTTAAAATTAAAGGAACTAAATTAACTAAATTTCTTTCAATTTCAAATCTAAAGCGTTGATTCGGTAATATAATATAATTATGTTTGATGCGTTTTGGATTTAGAATTAGAGAAATTTTAGTACAAAATTAAACTAAATTTTCTCTAAATCTAAATTCAAAGTACCGATTCGCTGTTGCCAAACATTACATAAGAATAATAAACATAATTTTGCAAAATTAATTTTGGGAACGGTGGTCCCTTCATGGGTCGGCCTGCATAAAGTGTGCGACTGATATGTCAAACCATAATATAAATGTGTTTATATATATATATATATATATATATATATAGTACTTTTGTAATCATGGGAGATATATTTAACATAATTTTGCAAAATTAATTTTGGGGACCATGGTCTGCATAAGGTGTGTGACTGATATGTCAAATCATGATATAAATTTGTTCTTATATATATATATGTGTGTGTGTGTGTGTGTTCTTATATATATATATATAGTACTTTTGTAATAATAGGAGATATATGCATGTCTATGTATATGAATTATGCCCATATAGTGCATGAATCATGCATGACTGAAAATGTTCCTCTCTAATTTACTGACACCCCTTCGCAAATGGCAAACATATGAAGCACACAATCACTATTTATGCATATATACACATATGGGCATTTTAATTATGTAGGGATCGATGTGTTATTTATATATATATGCATCTGTTCTGTACGTTTGAAAGTGTGTATATATGTACTTATATGCATCATGTTTCATTTAAAATGTTCCAAGTTCCATGATATATCCTTTAAAAGAGCATGGATTTTTCTATGGTCATTCCCTTTTTGGCAGACATAAAAAAGCATGACTAAGTACTTAAGGATATATGTCGGTGTGTTTATGTTAAATTGTGTACATTTATTTTTCTCGTCTCGTACATTAAAATTAGTCATATATATGTATACATAAGTTAAATATATATGAATTTACACACCTATATGTATATGCAAAATGTATATGATTAAAAATATGGGCTAGATTAGTTTTCAGGAGCATAGTGATGTTGGCAGGGATATAGGAAATAAGTCTTTGAGTGTCACTTTCGAACCGCACTTCTGAATAGTGTGTGCAGTAGAGCCCAAACATATACTCACTGTGTGTGAGAGTGAGTGAGAGAGAGAAAAAAGAATATATATATATATATATATATATATATATATATATATATATATATATTTATGGTCCAGATTATACGAAAAGATTAACGGGGATCAAACTGGTTAATGGCCTTACCGGTTATGGCAACGGCTTCTTCCGTGGTCATCCCCTTGTTGGAAAACATAAGTAGCATGCCATCCACTCCTAGATTTGGCGCAGGGAGTGAAGCATCAGCAAATTTATAGCTCGAAGTGGTGGAGGAATCCCTCCGTCCCAACGGAACCCTAATCAGTGGCCCACCGGACAAAGCTACCGCCTCACGAGCAGCCAATATGAGAATGTCAGCACAAGAAACTTGTTGGGGACATACTGTCTCCACCATTAATTTTATTGTGCTTATTAACTCCCTTTTTCTGATTCCATAATTCTTCTTTGAAGTCATTTCTAATGGCACTGTCAAATTACTCGGATCAAGAAGAATTGATGCATCACATCCCTATGATAAAAATAAAAAAATAAAATAAAATAAAATACAGCTCATAAGAATTAGTTCCATAAAATTAACTATACTGCATTACTACCAATGCAATATCAATGACTGCATTGTATCTATTCCAGCTTTTGAAATAGAAGATCGATTGGTTCAAGTCTGATGACAGACAAAAATAAAATAAAATTACACACACACACACACTGGGAGAGGGAGAGGGAGAGGGACCTGAACTTGACAGTCATGGAACATGAGCCTCAACATAGCTGCAGGTGAAGTGGGATCAGTGGCAGAGAGAGATTGAAGGCCAGTTCTAACAATGTCTTCAACTTGTGGGCATGAACTCTCATAGAAATCATAAGAGAGCCCTACTCCTCCTCCTTCAACATTAAACCACACTTCAAAAACTAAGATCAATGCAACTATAGTTCTGAGATACATATTCAGTTTTCCCCAACTTTTTGGATGAACTTTGTCGCTATTTAATTGCAGATAAACATTTAAATCTTTGAAAAAAAAAAAAGCTACTTTAACCTTTGTACTATATATGGCAATAAATATGTAGCGGCAGAAGAATTAAATGTGGTTGATGACTCCATAAATTTAAGTTTAGCAAAAAGTCTTTACATGCAATTGCAATGGATATTAAGGCTATATATGGAGTGTGACTGTGTGAGCTGGAAAGCCTGTGTGTACATTTTATTAGTCCCACTTGAAGGGTAGACTTTGAATGTTAATTTTAAAAGTGCTAAATAAATAAATAATACTTAAAAAGTGACATAATCATATAGATCTCATATGCTAAAAAAGTGTAATTGTGAATAGATAAACTGGTTAGACATGCTACTCGGCTAGTAAGATCTTTAAGAATATTCTCTTTTAAGTCTCTGATCACTAATGGATGTGATTTGTTGAGATAAACCATTCAAAAGTTCAATGTGATTAGTAAATTGGTTGATTTTTCATTACCAAAAATACTTTTTTAAATATATATATCTCTATATATATTTTGCAATTTTTTAAAAGCAGAGTCTATAGTGGAGATCCATTATTTATTTGTCATTTTTTCTTTTTCTTCTTTTCAATAAGTACCCATCATTTTCTTGTCTTCAAAGTATATATAATATACATGTCCGTAGAGGACTTCTTTGTATAAATTACGAAAAACTTTACGATACTCTGGCGTATTTTAACAAGTGGTTCCTCTTCCCAATCAAAAGTCTCTATTTTCTTTAGTAAATAAAGAAGAAGAGAATTTAAAATAAATGAGAAGTTTTGATTAAAAGAGGTATTATTTATCCAAAATACCCTGAAATATTGTAGAATTTATCGTGTAATTGCAATCATGTAGATGAACCGTGAAAAATCTCCTCTCCCTCTCTCTGGTTCCTTGTCTGTCCTACCGCTTTATATAATGTTCCCTACAACCATAATGACGAACCTCTCTCTTTCAATATCTTTTCAATAACAAGATCTTAGAGTTTCTGTGCCATGAATGAATTCCAACCCCACTCCATTAATTTCTAAGGATAAAGGTGAAATTTGATCTTTTTCTTTGAGCATGACATTGAATAGTAGCAATACTTAAAAGGATCCTTTTGAATGAATACCCATTACTTAAGTATGGTTAATATCTATAAAGGCCAGCTCGATACAACTCGCCTAAGGCAAAATTTTAAAATGAGGCCTCCAACGCCACGACCTCCATTTTTATCCTCCTTTTTTTTTTTTTTTTTTTTGGGTAATTCCCTTTTATTACCACAACATCGCAGTTCCTTCGACTTCAAAAAGTACCTACTCAAATTACTTACAGACAAGTCGTAAACTCATTGTATACACTTTTAAAATAATACCAATTAGGTAGACATATTCTATATGATGCACCATTATGGGCATCTCATTCCCACTTTTAAAATTTGCATTTGAAAGTATGTGTTTGCACAAAATTGGGACCCTGGAAGTGTCTATACACACTTCAACCCCCATCCAAATCTGATGTGGGACAAGTCGCACTTGTAACATTCTCTCCCACTCGAATCCGGGCAACCGGCTGGGACCAGACCCGGACATCCTCTTGCCAGTCGCTTAACGTGACACCAGATTAAGGACTGAAGCTGGCTCTGATACCAACTGTAACAGGATTAAGGACTGAAGTTGGCTCTGATACCAACTGTAACAGGGGTATATTACAGCGAGGACACCATGGTCACTGTAACTCTTCCTCCCACATGCTATTTCTGTGGAAGATTGATGACGATCATACCTTCCTTACCGACCAGACCTCCTCCAGAATGCGGTGAGTCTCGACTCGCTTGCGAGAAGCATAAAAGTGGTCATGGATCTAGTTAAAGTTCAGGTTTATTTGCAATTAGGCCAAACCTTAGGGGAGATCGTTGTAGTTTACCCAAGATCTTTTGTTTCGCTCTTTCCAAATGCTCCACTAAACACAAAGAGGGGTCACCCTCCATGTAGCGGCCCAAGTTTTACAAACCCAGTGCGTCAATGATGACCCGAAAGTTGACCCGGTAACGAATCTGAAATGCGGAAGCGAAAAATATGAACAAGGTCTCTGGGGATGTACATCATCCTTAAGATACCAAAGTGACTTCCCATAAAGCCACGGAACTTAAATGAACCAAATGCGGAGCAAAGTTTTGAAAATGGTTAATCACAACCCTAGGGATAAAATGGTCTTATCAAGATATAAATGGGTGCTACCGTGCACACCATTTGAAAGACAACAAAAAATTAATAAAGTTAGACTCAATAATCGCCTGATTTAAAATTCGAATGATAGAGATATGGAATCTAGAAGTTTTTAAAACAAAAAGTGGAATTTAAATGTGCCCAGGGGCATCGGCGATCAATCGTGGGATTTTGCGATCAATCGCAGAATCCACGATGGATTCAACGGAGACCAAAAACCAAAGTTTTGAAAATGAGAAGTGCAAGTGCGATTGATCACCACATCTGCGATCAATTGCCGAAGTCTACGAAGGATAGCAAATGCCCATGATGGATGAAAAAGTGCAGCCACGATGGATCGTAAGATTCGGCGACCAATCGTAAACCAGAAGGCTGCACCAGAAATTTTGCGAAAACGTATGTTTTTCGATGCAAAAACGGATTCTTTTGGAAAAGGTTTATAAAGCTCCCCCCCTCCCCCTAAAATATGGTTTTCTAAACAACCATGAACAAGCTAAATCTTATTTTCAATATGAAATGCCTAAAATGCCCTTAAGTGCAAACTTTGCAAAAATGACAACATGCTTGAAACGGAAAGTACCCATTGCATAAAATTAAAGTGTTTGGCCTTGGCCTCAATACATATGAATAAAAAGAGTCTCAAATAGTGTACTTAGGCACACTTTACATATCACAATATGAAAAGACATGTCAAACCAAGCTATGCCTTATAACTTCAAAAGGAAAGTTAAACATGTTAACACTTGCATGTTAACAAAATACACCACAAGTATCTAATTACGGCAAGCCAACCTAGGGATTTTGTGCATTCCAAAACAAGGTCTCCTCACTTGAAATATCCCAAATGTGATACCCCCGGATTTCCAAATGCGGGTTGGCCATTCCATGCCCGAACGCCCGGGGATATAGAAAACAAATCGGTAATAAACGAATACAGAGTACAAAAGAATAAATAAGAATAAATAATTTGCTGAAAGAAAACTAAAAGAATAATCTAATAATAAAACCTCTTAATAAATTTCTATTAATAAAAAAATCATTTTGATACAATAAATTCTCCATTTATACAACTCAGGAATCCATATTGTGCAGACCCCTAAAAACCAATCTAAACAAGTGACAGCAATAACTATCTACAACTGAAGAACGAAGCATAAAAGAATCTCCTATGTAGAATTAGAAGAATGAAGTAGACTGATCCTTGCTTAGCATGAACAACCTCTACTCCTGACGAACACTTGAAAAATAATGGTGGGTCAGGCCCATAAACAAGTTCTACTCTATTACAATTCAAGCAAAGATTCGATACACGTATACATCCTAATCAATCCAACAATAACTAGTAGTCCGTATATATATATATATATATATATATATATATATAGACACACTAAAGGAACCTCACTAGACTATAGGGTTGCCTCAACCTGAATAGTAGGCAATATGCAAAACGCACATATAGTGGGTATGAGTACCTAGACCTACCAGGGCACACAACTACACTATATCTAGCTACACATCCCTGGCGATATACGTGCCCTAACCACTAATCCTGAGACTCAAACTCATATCATGGCACCATAATTATATATATATATATAATCCAGTAACCATCATATTCAGTATAAATTAATCATCTACAAGTAATCATTTATAAGTCATTCAACTTGTTTAGTTGACCTGACTTGAATATAAGTAGGACTTAACATTTTAGTTAATCCATTCCTTTGTGACGACCCTGGATTTTTTAACCCAGTGTCCTATGATGACCCAAAGCGGATCTAGAATGCGGAACCAAAACAAAAACAAGTCCATAGAAATGTACGTTATCCCTAGGACACAAGAATGACCTTTCAAGGAAATTTGAGACTCAGCAGAAGTAAATTGAAGACAAGGGTATCAAAACCCTACTAAAAGAAGGACCAAGGGTAAAATGGTCATTTTATCCTAAGAGGAAGGAATTTGACTTCCAACAAATCAAATGAGATCAAAAACATCCAAAAACATCCTTTGGTAACTTCACATGAAGTACCAAGGCCAAAGGAAGTGAAATCCCAAATGAACCCTATCTCGATTCGAACCAAAACTGGCACCCTCTCACTAAAGCAAGGATATCTCAAGCTATGAGAGGAATAACCTGATTCAGAGACAACAAAAAATGAATTAAAATGGACTCAATAATCACCTGATTCAGAGTCCGGACGAAAAAGATATCAAGTCTTGAAGTTAAGGAAAGAAAATCCCTTTTTTCGGTTCAAACCAAATCCTGACACTACCTCACTAAAACTTGAATAACTTGAGTTACAAATGGAATCTGAAGTTCTAATTGGTACCATTGGAAATCTTATTTCGACGCGGTTAGTTTAGACTCAAGAATGGACCAATTCAGAGTTGAAACGAGTGAGATATGGCCCTTTGAAGGAAGGTATCTCGTGTAGGAACAGGTCACCGCGGGCACCCGCCCAAAAGCTACTGGGGCCCACCAAAAGTGGCAGATCCCCGCGGGCGCCCGCCCAAATTCTGCGGGGGCCCGCCAAATGTGGCAGAAGTGAACCAAGGCAGCAGAAACAGTGTTTTAGCAGACAAACGAGTTTATAACGCAGTTTTCGAGGTCAAGATGATATTTTTCGAAAAAATGTCGTGAAGAAACTCCCCCTAAAATCACATTTTCCATGTGACAAAGTTGAGAATGGAATTTATTTCCCAAAGGAAATCCCCGAAATTCCCTTGAACAA